GAAAATGTTGTCCGAGGCTTCGTTAAGGAGATATTAACAGAAAACCCTGGACCAATCAGAGTGCGAGTGTGCTGGCGGAGCGCCCGCGGTGGGCGTACGCTACTCGCTAGGCGACCGCCCTCCGCTGGGATCCTCGCGCTCTGATTGGTCCGGGGTTTTCTGTTAATATCTCCTTAACGAAGACTCGGACAACATTTTCGCTAAGGAAAAAGTTGTTTCAAATCACCTCCCGAACCACCCCTTTCAAGGTGTTACAACATTTTTGGGTCACCCTCTGTATATACGAGAAAAACGATGTCAATTGATGTTTTGCCTTTTTCGATTGTAAAGCTGTCGTGAACGTTATCGATACACCTTATACCGATTAAAGTGCAGAGAGCATGATCTACGTACCAGAAGTTCGATGTAGGTTTGTACAAGAGCGATTAAATAAATTTTTCTTTTCTTTTTTCAGCCATTCGATCAACGAAACAACCGTCCAGCGAAACCGTATATGGCACAGTAAGTGTATTTTGGATTTTTATAGATTTAGTAATTTTAGAAATATCAATTTTTTTTGGAATACTTTTAACAGTCAGTGAGGTATTATTTTTTTAGTTGGACAAAATTCTTTTCAATAGACTTCGCAAAGGAGCAGGTTACTCTATTCGACATGTGTACATATATATATTTTTTAACATTTACACAAATTTATGAATTTTTTAATTGTTTATAACTATTGTTATTGGGAAATTTCTATTCTTTGATTTAACTCGACACGTAGTTAACCGATCCAGATGGAATCTTCTACATATAATGTCAAATAATTAATTATGTTCCCACTTGGGAACATTTTTGAATTTCCTAATATTTATAACTATTGTTAATACAAAATTCTTTTTTTTTATGTAATTCGACAAGAAATTAACCAATCGAGATGGAATCTTCTACAAATAATGTCAAATAAGCAGTTATGTTCCCATTTGGAAACATTCTTGAATTTCTTAATGTTTACTTCAAAATTCCTATTTTTTGATGTAACTCGGCAAGGAATTTTCCAAATGCGATCAATCCTTCCACATTTAGTTTGCACATGTATTCCTGATGATCCCACTTGCAACTATACAGGGTGTACAAAAAAAATTGAAGGTCCTTGAAAAGGTTGATTCGGAAGGTGATTAGAAACAACTTTTTCCTTAGCGAAAATGTTGTCCGAGCCTTCGTTAAGAAGATATTACCAAAAAACTCCGGACCAATCAGAGCGCGAGTAGGCCGCGGTAGGCGTAGGCTACGCGCTAGACGACCGCCCTCCCCATCATACTCGCGCTCCGATTGGTCAAGGGTTTTCTCTAAATATCTCCTTAACGAAGCCTCGGACACCATTTTTGCTAAGGAAAAATTTGTTTCAAATCATCTCCCGGACCACCCTGTTGAAGATCTTCCACAATTTTTGCGACACCCTGTATATACAGGATGGCGATGATTTGCAACAACTTTTTCCTTAGCGAAAATGTTGTCCGATGCTTTGTTAAGGAGATATTAATAGAAAACCCTCGACCAACCAGAGCGCGAGGATTCCGGCGGAGGGCGGTCGCCTAGCGCGTAGCCTACGCCTACTGCGGCATACTCGCGCTCTGATTGGTCCATGGTTTTCTCTAAATATCTCCATAACGAAGCCTCGGACAACATTTTCGCTAAGGAAAAAGTTGTTTCAAATCACCTCCCGAACCTCTCCTTTTAAGGACTTCCAAAATTTTTATGACGCCATGTATAATGAATTAAATTCGAATTCAAAGTACCCAAACATATATCTATAAAATTATACAACTTTCTACTTGCACCAAAGTATTTACAATTAAATATAACGTTATACTGTTAAAATAAAATTGTAACTCGTATAAAACTTCTCGACACCGTTTGTTCGCAGTGCTCTTAAAGAATCAGGCTACGAGAGTGATTCTACGCTAGTGTTTCGTCGCAAAGAAGACATAAGTCCTTTGAGTCAACTCGAGCAAAGACTGGCTTACAAAACAGTGCAAAGCGGCGGTGACGTGCCCCTTCATGGACTTCGCAAACCAGCTCCCGAACGACCGAAGGGTGAGTCCTCTAGAATAATTCATACAAAAATACTTTTTTATTTTTTTTCTTCAAATATTTTTAATTAACACGAATTTGTTTTTGGGTGTGTGTGTCTGACGTTATTGCAAGCAGGCATGTGTGCATACAGCTGTTATGTTGTGTTTGATTTATTATTTTTTATCTAATCACTAACTGTAGCTGTGTGTTTAACTAAGTCTGTGCATGGTCGTTATCGTGTCACTGAACTTTTATTTTATAGATTGGAGTTGCATATTGCGCCACCGAGCATGACGTTTCGAATTTTTCATAAATAAAACGCGTTTACTCCTTTAACGATTTTCGTCCCTCCGACAGCTTTGTATCGCGCGAATCTTACATTCATTTAATTAACAAGAACGGCAGACTGTAAATACGATTTTTCATGTACCGTTTCGGAAATTTAAACATTTCAAGAATTCATGAAACACTTCGGAATGAATCCACGATGACATTTACAGCATTCCTTTCGTGCAATTGTTGAATTACGTGTTCGTAGTCCGCTGATCTTGCGCTTGTAATAGCTTACCGCTGCTTCAGACGAGTTACTCTAGTATTATTCATCGTTTCCATTTCAAAATTCGTTTGTTACACGCGTCATACGATCACATTTTGCGTTGCCTGACGTTAATTAATTATAATTATTAATTTACGCGAATTTTCACAATTATAATAATTAATTATAATAATTAATTATAATAATTAATTATAATAATTAATTTACGCGATTTTTCACAATTAGAATAATTAATTATAATAATTAATTTACGCGATCTTTCACAATTATAATAATTAATTATAATAATTAATTTACGCGAACTTTCACAATTTTAATGATTAATAATAATAATTAATTAACGTTGTTAATTACGATTGCTGAGTAGTACGTCGAACGCAAAGCCTAAGAGTTTAATTTCCACGGTTTGAATAATACATCGAGTGAAAAGTACAAAGCATGACTCGTGACCAGAGTTGGACGTTATTCGAATAAATTCTTATTCGAATGGGATCTCTATGATGATTTATTCGAATTCAATTCGATTTGCCTAATTTTGTCTAAATAATGGATAAAAACTAAAAGGAAACTGAATGGGGATTCATTTTCGAAAAAAATTAATTTTATTAACAGTTTATTCGTGCGAGTTGTTCTCGAATAAATGTGAAGAATATTTTAAGAATGAATTTTAGATATTTTTCGAAAATGAACGCCTTACGATCTTTCACAATTTTGTTATGTAGGTTTACAGTGTAGTAAAATTTTTTAACTTTTTTTTTAAGTATTTTAACATTGTTGAGAATTTGAAATGTATTTGTTATAAATTTGTAAGGCACGCGCATTTTTAAATTTGTACGCCCATTCCATGCATTTGTTATATACATTCATTATACATACATTCCATTTTTATTTGGAATTTTGCTGTTTTATAAATGCATGTGAAATTCGTTACGTTTCCGAGACCATTATTTTTTATTCATCATCGAGAATAAAATTCGTCCAGCTCTGCTCGTACCTATATTGTTCATAGCTGTCCGAGCCAGGGACCAATAATTTCTACACAAAAAATTGTAGAAATATTAAAAACTCATCGTCAAAGATATATTACTTTTAAAACGTTGTGGTTACAAATTACGATTAAAAAATATCGACAAGTCTTTTTGTTGTCAATAAGCGTTATTGACGAGAGAAATGCTAGTTTTGTAGCTTGTAATAGATATCAAGGAAAAACTACTTTTTTTTGGATATTGATGTTCTCATAATAATAGTTAGTGGAATTGAAAAACTACTTTTCAATTGTGCATAATAATTACTGATAAAAAAAAAATTTATTTTGGCTGTCCATATCATTTGGTACTGACAATAGACATTGAATTTCTATCTCTTATATTAGTTATCAATGAGAAACTACTTCTTGTGGATATTGAAGTTCTCATAATAACAGTTACTGAAAAAAGAAATTCTTTTTCAGTTGCGCATAATAATTATTGATGAGAAAAATTTATTTTGGCTGTCCATATCATTTGGTACTGACAATAGACATTGAATTTCTATCTCTTATATATAGTTATCAATGAGAAACTATTCTTTTGAATATTCAAGTTCTCATAATAATAGTTACTGAAAAGAGAAATTCTGTTTCATCTGTACATAATAATTACTCATGAGAAAACTTGATTACAGTTGCTCATAATAGTATAATAGTATTCTATTCTTTTGCATTTGGTCAGACCATTCTTAAATTCGTATTGAAATATTATTTTGTTGGTCTGAAACGAAACTATAGAATGGATTGTTGCAATGAAACATAAATTACAAATCCTAAATTTACAGTTATATAAATGAATATTTTCGTCATCAATACTTATTAAGAACGATTGAAATACAAGTTCCTTCGTTGGTACCTATTACAGGCGACCAAAATGGTTTTTGTTTCACACATAAATATTATAAATAAACCGCATTTATGCATGCATTTATGAAAAATATCAAAATATACAAATAAAACACGAGTTGCAACATTCAGAGAAGGAAAAACACACTTTTATTTATATTCTACATCTATGTATACAGGGTGTCCCAGAACTCCAGTAAGAGCCGGAAATTGGAAGAATAATTTCATTTAAGGAATTTTCTAGATATTATATACAAGGTGTCTCAGAACTAGTATAAAAAGCAAAAATGGGTTCTGAACAACAGCTGTCATATGAGTCTTCGTTTTTGAATTATTAAGAAAAATACCACGGACCAATCACAGCGCGCGCAACTCTGGCCCTGTGATTGGTCGACGGTTTTTCGTTAATAATTCAAAAACGAAGCCTCCTTCGACATTTTCGCTAAGGAAAAAGTTGTTCCAAATCACCTCCCGAACCACCCCTTTCAAGGTGTTACAACATTTTTGGGACACCCTGTATATAAAGGGTGGAGGTGATTTGAAACAACTTTTTCCTTAGCGAAAATGTTGTCAGAGGCTTCGTTAAAAAGTTATTAACAGAAAACCCCGAACCAATCAGAGCGCGAAGATGCTAGTAGCGCGCCCGCGGTAGGCGTGAGCTAGCGCGCTAGGCGACCGCCCTCCGTCGGATATGCTCGCTCTGATTGGTTCGGAGTTTTCTGTTAATAACTCCTCAACGAAGCCTCATTCGACATTTTTGCAAAGGAAATTGTTATTCAGAATCGACTCAGCTACCCTCTGGGACACCTTGTATAAAACTATGAATTTGCATAAAAATCCTCAGTTTTATGACTCATCAAAATAAATTTTCTTCGTCTATAATAATTATTGACAACTCAACAAAATCTGTCGATTACTTCCAATCGTTATTTGTAACACTTAATTATTACTCGAGAATATAATCATTACTCTTTCCGTTTACTTCGCCAATAATAATTAAGGTACCTGGCAACGTCCAGCTTAATCGCATATTTTCCGCATAATATCTTTTCTGGTATTTCCTCCAACGATATGTCGCACAACGCACAGCTCGCCTCGGTATCTATCGATATTGGCGCGCGATAAGATTCTCCTCGAGTCTCGTAATAGCAATGCACCGACGTTTCCATCACCCAGAAGACTTCACCGATTCCGGATCACGTTGCTCCGGGAAACGGCAGCGTATCACCAAGCTTCGAAACTCTTCCTTTATTATTTTTTTTCAAACTTTGGTGAAAGGGTCACATCGATCGGCACGAACGAGAAACCGCGTGCGCAAAACGAAATGAAAACTTTGTCCACAGACGACTCGGTGGTCGAGTATTTCCCTATCTCGCCCACGTTGACGCGGATCCGCGTTCACAGGAGAACCGCTTCGTCAGCTCGAGTATCCTCGATCATCCGAACCCCAACCATCAAGAAAATGGACGTTTCATCAAAACCGAAAGATTTCACCAATCTCCGCGGCAGAACATTTCCGTTAACGAGACCGCCATCGCCTCCGCGGAGACAATCCTCGCGAAACAACAAAACCCTGAAGCTGTACACCCAACAGCAACCGGTGGGCACGTCTCAGAGCTCCAAATCGAGGCACAGGCAGTGCTTCGCTCCCGACAGCGCATCAAGCATTAACTCTGCCAGAGAACGTTTCTGTAATTTAGAAAAATACAAGAAGAACCGAGAAAACTCGAGGACTTCGAGTCTAGCTCGAGCAACGTCCACGAATCCCGGCTCGTCTCGAGCGAAACTTCCCGCAATGGCCGTCAGCTTCAACAGAAAGCCGTCGGAGCGCTGCCCGTCGCAAAGCTTGTCGGACGCATGCGCAGAGAAAGGCGCAACTGCGCCGCGCAGCAGGAACCGAGTCTGCGCTGCGACGCCGCCATCTTGGAAAGCCGTGGCTCCAACCAAGTCTCCCAAGTGCGCAGTTCCCGCGCTAATGAAGCCGAAGGAAAGGCCTTATCTTGAAAATAGTGGTTATCATTCCTCGAGTCCGAGGAATTGTATGAAGATAAGAGGGAGTGAACGTTTGGCGAAGAGGGAGCAGGAACAGGTGTCCAAGAGGCTTGTTAAATCAGTTAATTTGACACAGAAATTCAGAGAAGGCGATGCTCAGACTAGAACTGTTCCGACTGGGACTGTCGTTAGAACGACATCGACGTTGCACATTTCCAAGAATCTTAATGATAAATTTTTGAAAGGAACCTCAAAAGTATCCTCACAGGATATTTCACATTCGAAGAGAACGGACTCGGCTTTAACCTCAAAGTCGATGTCTTCGATGTCTTCGATGCCATTGCTGAAGTCATCCTCGGCACCTTCGGCGTCGGTTATAAGGAAGTCGGTGTTAACGGACGCCAAGAAGCCTAGATTGACGACCAAGCCATTGGAGAAGGTATTAAGTAAGGATTGTTTAAGATCGTTGACGCCTTTCTCGGACAGCGAGGCGATCAGGAGGAAGAGGATCAGAGAGAAGCCTCAGACCATCACTAGGACACCTGTTCGGAAAGCTGAGACCACTCAGGCGAGTCCTGATTCGATTAGGAAAAAGGTGGAGATGAAGAAGAAGTTGAAGAAAGATAACGGAATCGTAAAAGGAAAGAGACTCGCGAATGGAAAGAAGGAGGTAGATAAGGAAAGAGATAAGGACATCACGAAAAGAGATAATATAGAAAACGAGGAGCCAAACACCAGACGAAAGGCTTATCAAATATTCGAGCAGCCTAGATTGACCATAGAGGAAATCAAAAGACACCAAGAGGCGACGCGATCGGACTCCTTCTTCCAGAACCTCTTCCTCAGGTCCGCCTCCTCGAGCTCCAGTCAGAACATTTCCTCCAGGAAATCTCTGGTATCCGAACGCGCCAGAATCTACCAAGAGGGCTGCATCCGTGAGTCTTGCAGATCCGAGCCGTCCTTGAAGTCCCTCAGCATCTATCTAGCCTACAAACGTCCAGTCTCGAACTCGAAGTTCAGAAGCTGGGAACGCGAGAGTGTCTCTTCGAGAAGCTCCAGCCCGTTCGGCGTCAGCTGGCCCGGCAGGTCCGTGTTCCAGATGATCAGCAAGTTCGATAGTTTGTCAGGCATCGACGACTTCGGTTCATCCGCGACACTACGCGATCGTAGTCCGGATTCGGTCAGGGAACGGCTGAAAGAGAGAAGCTCCAGCGAGCCGCCATTGAAGGCTCTGTCGGAATATACAGAGTCCAGGTGTTCCTCTTCGAGAACCTCTTCGCCGGTCAGGTCGCCGTCTTTTCGGCGCATAAGAACTCTGAGGCAGGATAAAGCGGAGGACGCGAGGAAGGTTAGGAATGAAGAGGTTAGGGCGAGGAGCGCCAACGAGCGCGAGAAGGTTAGGTCAAGGAGCGCCACTGAGCCTGAGAAGGTTAGGTCGAGGAGCGCCTTTGATCGCGAGGTTAGGTCGAGGAGCGCCACTGAGCCCGAGAAGGTTAGGTGGAGAAGCGCCACCGAGCGCGATGGGGTTAGGGCGCCTCGCGCCACTGAGCGTGAGGAGGTTAGGTCGAGGAGCCCCAATGAGCGCGAGGTTAGGTCGAGGAGTGCCACTGAGCGCGAGGAGGTTAGGGCGCCTCGCGTTACTGAGCACGATGAGGTTAGGTCGAGGAGCGTCACAGAGCCTGAGAAGGTTAGGTGGAGAAGCGCCACAGAGCGTGATGGGGTTAGGGCGCCTCGCACCACTGAGCGTGAGGAGGTTAGATCGAGGAGCGCCACTGAGCCTGAGAATGTTAGGTCGAGGAGCGCCACCGAGCGCGATGAGGTTAGTTCTAGGAGCGCCTCTGATCGCGAGGTTAGGGCGCCTCGCGCCACTGAGCGTGAGGAGGTTAGGTCTAGGAGCGCCTCTGATCGCGAGGTTAGGTCGACGTGCGCCACCGATCGCGATGAGGTTAGGTCGAGAAGCGCCACTGAGCCTGAGAAGGTTAGGTCGAGGAGCGCTACTGTACGCGATGAGGGTAGGGCGCCTGGCGCCACCGAGCGCGAGGAGGTTGGGGCGTCTGGCGGCACCGAGCGCGAGGATGTTCGGGCGTCTGGCAGCACCGAGCGCGATGAGGTTAGGTCTAGGAGCGCCTCTGAGCACAAGGTTAGGTCGAGGAGCGCCACTGAGCCTGAGAAGGTTAGGTCGAGGAGCGCCACCGAGCGCGATGAGGTTAGGTTTCCTCGCGCCACCGAGCGTCTTACATCTCAGATAACTACATTAGGCTCCACCTTGTCGTTAACAAGGAGCACTAGTTCCCTCTGCGCCTTTCCGACCGACCGCGAGGAGTACCATCGGTACGTTTTCGAATTGCTACGCGACAGAAGAAAATCAGAGAAGTACAAAGAGCTGCGGGACTTCTACTGCAGCCTCGAGAGACTCGCCCAGCTGGAGAGGACGTTCTCCACTGGCGATCTACGACCGAGGAACGAGGATATCATAGACTACGACCGCTGGAAGAGAGTGAGGTCGCGCGAGAAGGCCGAGAGCGAGCGCAACTTCCTTTATGGGAAGTTAAGAGCGGCTCAACGCGACAAGGACTTCTTGTTCAGTACCAAAGATACGAGCAGGTTCAAGTGGCGTGGCGATCGCGGTTTGAGGTGCAAGGAGCGCTCGGTGGAGAACATAGTGCGGCAGTTTAAGAGGCTGCAGGATGAGGAGTGCGAGCTGAACTCGGCTAGGAAGAGAGATCTGCGAGAGATCTCGTCGAGAAAAGACACTTACAAGCCTCTTTGGCGCGGGACGTCCGTGATCAACGTCGCGAGCACGATGCAGGAGAAGGCCAACAGCGGTCGGAACGGCGACAGGAGGTTTGACCGCTCGGATCAGCCCTCCCTGCAGAGGAGCCTCGGCGGCAGTAAGAAATTCTGGAGCAGCCTGTCCATCGAGCAAGTGGCGACCCTGAAGAAACAGCTGAACGAGATCTACGGGAGCGGGAATCTACAGAAATCAACGACCGCAGCGTCCCTAAAGCCGGATACTTACAAGTCCGAGATCCTCAATGATTCTTCTCCTACTGATGAACGGGAACCTCTGTCGAAGTACGAGATCGAGGTTTCTCCTCGGGTAGACTTAACAGACGGTGCTCGCGACGATGGGAAAGGGCTTCACGTGCGGTGCCACTCGATGATCGCTGCGAACGAGACATCTGGCGAGAGATCCTCGAGTCAGAAACTATCGGTAAATAGTTCGGAATTGAAATTGAAGAGAGGTGACGCCATTGGCCGAGGGAAAGGCCTGGAGAGGTCCCAATCGGACGGTTCAGCGATGAGATTATCCATGAGCGAACTCGAGAAGCAGAGGCTCTCCGTGACGCTAGGAAAGGAGGTCCTGGATAAAGTCTCCCGGAGGCGGATGTCAATGCCTGGTCCTTGCAGTGCGCCTCCAGAGCCGCAGAAAATACCGAAACCGGTTCTAGCTTCCGTCGCACCCAGCGCAGCTAGCACTTCCCCAAGAAGTTGTTACTCCCTAGAATCATCCTACACCGAGGACCCTTCCAATCCCAAAGAGAAGAACGACTTCCTGGTGGTCCTGACGCCTAACACCGATAACTCCGCCGACCGGGAGCGAGTGGAGACCGTACTAGAGGAGTGGTCGCGGAAACCACCTCTCCTGACCATAGCTCTACCAACCAACAACCTCCAAACAAAAACCGCAGGCTTCAATTCCGGCAGCGAGAGGGACAGCACGACAGGCAGCTCCGAGACTTCCATAAAAACAGTGATCCAACGCAGCGTAGACTACGAGGACGTCCCAAAGAAGATCGAGTTCTTCGAGAATGTTCAGAAGACGAAGCACTCACCGAATCGTGGAAACCAAGATCCAGAAAGGCGCCGGATTGGTGGACTGTCCCATTCCCAGAGCTTCGCCGACCTGAAGGAATTGTTCGGCGAGACGGACTCCGGTAAATACGCGACCCTGGCGCGTTTGGGTTACCGGACACGCTCGATATCCCCGCGGGGAATGGCGGAGAGAGGGTCCCGCAGCCCCGCGCGGGAAGCGGATGCCAGCACGCGACGTTCGCTCCGGTCGTGGTCGTGGGACCGTGAACCGGATAGGCCGGTCAGTCCATGTCGCGCAACGGTGCAATCGAATTCGTCCTGCAGCTTAGAGAGCGTTTGGCTGCGCGCCTCCTCGCCGGATCCGGAGAAGTACTGGCGCGCCTACCTGAGGCTCGTCAGGAACGGCACGGTGAAGCAGCTGAAAGTCAAATTCGAGAGCGCCGAGGACATCCACACCGGGAGTTTGAAAATCAACCCAGCGCCTAAAAGGTTCCGTAGCGACCCGGAGCTGACGCGGAGTCTTCTGAAGAAGGTCGACGACAGCAAGAATCTATTGAAGCCGCACGAGTTCGCGGACGTGGCCTGGCTGCGGCGCAAGTACGAGCCGCGGAGAGGAAAGGCTAGGCGGAGAGGGGAGTCCCCGCCTATTCCGCGCGTGCCGCTCAAACGCGAGGACTTGGCGATGCCGCATATAGACGTCATCAGCAAGACGGCTGAGCTGAAGGACTCCTCGGTGTCTACCGTGACCAATGGCGTGGCTAGGAGGGCGGAGACGGAGGAACTCGAGGCGAAGAAAGCAGTCGGTCGCTTGAGGAAGAAGTTCGAGGAGTTCGCGAGCCGGAAGACGTCGATTCTGGGAGAGATGTTCACCTCGTCGCCGGATGTCCGCGAGCTGCGGGATATTGGTCCTTATTTGGCTGGGCGCTGGGTGGCTCACAGGTATCCCAGTCGACGAGATAATATGCGCTCGCTGTCCTCGCCTCCGGATCTGGCTGGGAGAAGATCTTCTTCGAAAAATCGTGCGGATTCGGGAGAGTTGGGGGCGGAGACGAGCGGCGAAAGCAAGCCGATGGGCAGGCTACGGGCTTCGTCGAAAGAGCCAGGGTCTTTGAAACAGAGTGAATCGTTAGGGAAAGAACAGTTCGATCCGGATAAGCACAGGCCGAGGTTTAGGTACCAACCTCCGCCGCCGACATCTTTGCCTAGCTTGCGACGGAAGACCGGGTCGTGGTGGTCGCCGATACCTGTCTACACCGCTCGACCCACTGTCACTTTTGAAGGTCTGAACTCTTGCGACTGATAGCCGTGAGACTGTACTTTCGGAGATGTATGGTGACTAGTAAAAATCGACTGCATAGTGATGTTAGAGTTGAAGAGGGAGCGCGTCGGGAGAGTAAATATTTAGTGCTTTTAGTGATGTTTTTTTTAGGGGGAAATTTACTTAACTTTATGTAAACTTTGAGAATCTTGTTTAACATACGGGAGATTCCACGCCAAATAGGACGGTTTAAATATTTTTCTTGTATTTTTTTTCTGTACAGGCTATCTAACAACAATAATTTTGAAAGAAAAGAAAATTAAAATTTAATAACTTTTCGATATGCATGTCGGCCATATTGGATCCGCCATTTCGAATTTTGAAATTCTAAT